CCAGATTACACCGAATAGCTGGAAGAAGATAATCGGGTTAATGGTGTTGCTACACGAGAGAGGTGAGGGACTTCCTTCGTGCGATGAGATGAGGAGCATCTTCGCGTTTAAACAAAGCCCAAAGAGGAGGGTGGCCGAGTCTTCTTGTTGCTTCTTCGCCGGGGCGAAACCGCAACACGGTGTTAAAGTCGGAGAAATAGTGACTGAGATTCCGGAGAGTCTCCACGGTTTTCAGGAAGAATGGGTGTGGATAGGCGGAGAATGGCAGTCGGTGGACTTCTTTCATGAGCGCCGGATTGATGGGATGACAATTCCCATGTTAATTTATTCCGGAGCCAGTGAGTTTACTTTCTGTTTTGTCAATTCGGATATGCTTGTCTGATTCTCGTATTGTTCTGTGTACTAACAGGTCGGAACTTTTACTCTGTTGTAGAAAAAGAGACGAAGCAAAAAGAACCGAAGTTAAGCCCGGAATTCAGTGGGAAGTTGATAACCTTGGCCGGTTTGGATAAAGCAGAGAGGGATTATCGTAAGCTTGTCGTAGACTCAAAACTTGAAGCGGCCGGTTTATCTCTAGGAGTTACGACATCAAAATTTGACCCCGGTAAGAAAAGTTTAGCCAGTAAAAATGTCGAATTTTCTCATATACATGGGGCAGCTGTTTGTAACTCGTCTCTTGTTGATATGCAGTATATTATCCTCTCCTCGGTTTCTTGGGCTACAACTCTGTCAAGGAAGCCAAAGAGTTCAGACGTAAATTTCCGAACAAAGACCTTCAATCTAAAGTCGGTAAGAGCCGTGATTTGAGACTGAACGACGCTATGAGGAGGGATCTTGTTCGTGCGTTGGTGAAGAAGACAGCTGGTCAGAAAAACGCCGGGAAAAAGTCGACCGAGGTGGGGTCGAGTGCCACTTCGGCTGCCGTGCCGGAAAGTCCGAAGTCTGTGCCCGAGATGGCGACTACCGAAGTGTTATCGGTAGTAGAAGCTGTGGCGATCAATCAGGCTGATCCAGAGCCAATTATAGCTGGGACCGAAATGGTTACTACTGAGGCTGCCCACACCGAGGTGCCACCAGCTTCCCCGAAGTCGCTTGAGTTGGAGCGACCAGAGAAGAGAAAGAAGAGGAAACTGGTGAAGATGGCGGACGTCGGTGCTACGTCCGGAGTGGAGAAAAGGTCCAAGAAGAAGAACGACTCCGGCCGTAAAGCGTCTGAGAAAGGTACTGATGATTCTCCCTTGTTTGAGAAGTCCTTTTTAACAATCGATGAAGAACGGGCTGCGAATGTTAAAGTGCCCGAGGGTGTGGTGGAAGATTGGTTTTCCACTTTCTTGTCGGTGAAGTCTCCCCATATGTCATCGAGAATTGAAATGCCGAAAAATGCGAAAGATGCTGCTCGGGTCCCGTTGATGGTTTGGGACCCCAAGTCCGAGGTGGGAGTCTCTTCCCTGTCCAGTGTTGACAAGCTGAATTACGCCAAGGCATGTGTTGGCCGAGCCTTGGTTAGTTTAGTGGCAGCCGAGGATGACCATCGCCGAGTTGCGTCGCAGCTGGAAGGAAAGAAGGATATCATTGCGGTGCGTGACGCAGCGATCGTCCAATTGAAGGAGGAGTCCACAAAGATGGAGGCCGATTTGAAGGGCCAGATTGCTGAGAAGACTGCCGAGTTGGAGAAAGCAAAGGTGGAGACGTCGGCACTATCCGAGGAGAAGAAGACTTTTGAGGCCGAAGTGGCCGATCT